GCATACACACACGTGTGTGTGTGTGTGTGTGTGTGTGTTTTGCATTTTAAAAGGATGGATTTATTAGAAAGGCACCTCCATAGCCAGGCAAGGGAGCTGCCCTAGTCTGTCTTTAGATACTCCTGCAGTTTAATTTTTCAGGTCATGAAATTTACCTCTCCCTGCTTGGTTTGTAAGCCCTGGCATAGCTTGTTCTTTCTGTGAAGCTCTCGCTAGCTCTTGATATATAATACAGTTGTGTTGGGTTGTGGCCAAGGATCTCATTTACTCCTTTATGCCTGTATTTCTTCAGAGGGTTTTATTTAGCCTTTTCAGAAATCTTTATACTTAACCTCTTGAGGACTTGGTGGGCAGGGAATATCTAGCATTGGTGTTTATCTTGGCACCTACAACTGTGCTGACTTTCCTTTGGGAACACTATCTAGGTCTGGTCTGTGGCCTAGGGGGTTGTCAGGGAAGGACAGAGCGAACAACCATCACTGGGTGAGAAACAAGCAGATAAAGCTTCTTCTCAGTATGGGACAGATCAGAGAACACTTAATTCATTAATGCTTCATGTTTTTTAAACATTGTGAATTTCCAACTTTATTATCTCAACATTCTTTCTGCTAAACAAGTACATCCCTTCAGACTTAAGTACAATGCACGGGAATGTGGAGAAAGGGGCCTACGACTGAAAGTCCAGAGTCTTGGAGCCTTTTTTCCCCACTAGATTAATCTAAAAATTTAAGCTGTCACTGTGTATATCCCATAGTTAAAAACTTCATCAGAGACTGCTTGCTTAGATGGTGCCTACCTCAAGGATAGTCAGAGCCCCATCAGAAAAATCCTTTTTTTTTTTTTTTTCAGGGTCTGACCTTCTGTGTAGAAATGAAAATTTTATACCTGTTTTAACAGAAAAACTCCAGAAGGTTCAAGGTCTCCAAGCTTAGTACCAGTCAAGAGTTGAATGTTCTTTCAAATTTTCTACTCCCTAATAGGTGTTTTGTTTTAAAGGTCTGGATAAGTGTCCTATTAATTTGGTTAGTTTTTGGGTTTTTTAGTTACATGAGCAAATAGTTCCTCAAAAAGTTAAAGCCGATTACACAGTAAATGCAAATATACGTTCAATCACGTTAAACCTTCAAGAGAATGTTCATTGCTAATATTTTTTGTATGCCTGGCTTCTGTGTTAAAAAAAAAAAACTAAGTTTACAACTTAGTTTGTATACTTCTGGTAAGTTTTAAATGAGTTATATTTGTAAAATGTACTTAATGTAAAATGTTCTTGAAAGTAGTAAATTTTTAGATGTACTATCCTAACAAGGTTTTATTTATTTATTTTTGAGTTGCGGCCTATGAATTAATAGATTTGCCCTCTCCACTCTGTGGAGTGTCCAATCTCCAGTTCTGTGATCTGAACAGTTCTAGAAAATGAACAGTACCCATCTTTTTGGTGAAGTGGAAGAAGGTATAAAAAGTTGCTAATTTTTTTCCCCAGCTTTTCTTAGACCCGCTTTTAGGAAATGAAAAGCTAATGGTGATTATAATCCTGTCCAAATCAGGTACATGAGGGAGCTAGACAAGGAGCAGCTCTCTCCTGTACTGGGTCTTGTCAGGTTAACGGTTGCTGTCTCTTTCCCTCTCAGTGCATCCAGCAGTGGTAATTCGACAACGAAAATCATATCGGAGAAAAGATGGTGTATTTCTTTATTTTGAAGACAATGCTGGGGTAATAGTAAACAATAAAGGCGAGATGAAAGGTAAATAAATCCATAAGTTTCCTTGGTTCTTTGAAATTGAATAACTCTTGGATCTAAAAGTATAAGCAGAAGGGCCCTCTGATCTTAACAGTCCCCTCTTTTTTTGTTTGTTTTAAATACAGGTTCTGCCATCACTGGACCTGTTGCAAAAGAATGTGCAGACTTATGGCCCAGGATTGCATCTAATGCTGGCAGCATTGCATGATTCTTAGGCCTATTTGTAAAAAAAAAAGTCATTAAACGAATTAATTGCCTCTACTGCTTACCTTCCTGCTCATTTCTACATGTCACTCTTGACACAAGCTAAACTTTGCTGCCTTTGTAACATAAAACTCAGTGTGTGTGGGCATGTTCTTCGAAAAAAAGGTAGTCCTTGGATTTTTTTCTGCTTGCTGCTCCGGAGAACCGTTAACCTCTCCAGGGAAGTCAGTTGGGAAAATGGCTCTCTATCCCCTAAAGTCCCAGTAGATTAATTGCAAATACTGGAGACAGGTTACCTTAGATAATGTGGCAATTGTCATAAATCTGCTCTCATGGAAGATGATTAAATTGCTAGTTGAACCTGCTGGTTTTTTGCTGTCAGAATATATTTTGTTTTGACAGGATGGCTGTGTGATATATCTGCTGGGCCCTAGTCTAAGACTAAAAGGATATAATTATGTCAACATAGTAAGCATAATCACTAGTGGATTATGTATGAAAGTTGTGGCCCACCCTCACTCCTGTCCAAGCCACACATGTATATATGTGTGATATTCATGCCTAAAAATGCACTCAACTGGTTTGCATCAGTTTGGCCGACAGAAATTAAGAGTAGGCTTATATATCTTATTACCTGAAAATACTGTAACTATACATGCAAGAACTGGGGAATAGGCAGAGGTACAGTGGGTGAGAGTGTTCACCAGAGACAGAGTGGGGAGCAGAACAGGCAGATCTACCAAAATACGCTGCTGAAGGGAGCAGTGTTCAAGACACTATGCTTGAACACTGTGTGGGTTAGCTCCTGGCCAGACATGGAACTTGTGCCTCCTAAAGTCCCAGAATGCCTGCTTAGCTCCACCCTTGGGTTCTCACAGTTCTCTCCTTGGTACTGCTGGGAGTTGTAGTTTTCCAGTCACTGGAGTAAGGGGTGGAATCCAGAAAGCTAGAATAGTGGGTGGAGTCTACAAGACTGCAGAGTTGTTTTAGGACATCATTCCCCTTACCACCACCAGGGTGGCCCCTAACATGAATCCTTTTTTTCTCGGATTACAAAACAATTATACTGCTTCAAGTATGACTATGCTATGAGAGTGTTTCTGCAGATGGAAGTAATTTGAGTCCCAAGAATAAAGGCACATCCATTACAAAGTTTGTGTTAGAGCTGTTAGGGTCAGAAATCACCCGGTTGTCCCCCGTGACAAAGAACAGGACCAGAGATGCACAAGCAAGCAGAGTTTATTAAGCCAGCTAGCTGGGGTCAAGCCTTCCTGTAGGCACGCAGGCCACACAAGGAGAACAAGACCTAGACCATAGGAATGTCAGAATATATAGGCCCTTATCGGCCGTTACATACGTCATAGCCGGTGCAAATTCAAAGAGTAACAAACTTCACAACACTCAAGGACGGGTTTCCAAGAACAGATGTCTCAGTCGTGAGTCAGGAGCTGATAGCAGGGTCTAGTTTCAGCCGGTTCCAGGAGCTGGCACCAGGAATGCTATCTGCCTGCTCTTCCTCAGGGCCCAGGGTGAGTTACAGACCCAGACAGAGGGGCCTAGCCAGAGGGGCTTAACAGAGCAACTTGTACAGGGGTCCTCAGCACCAAAACTGTTGGATAGGATTTTAGTCAAGGCAATGCGTACCCCATCTCCCTTTCCTTTGAGATGTCTTATACTCTGTGTGTGATCTGTGTAAGCCTGAGTGCTAGGGAGACACCTGTTGCATTGTGAGTTCTGTGTATAGTTAGAGCAGGGTAATACACTTGAAAGAAACAGGAAATTGCCCTGGTTAGGGCAACTACCCATCGGGGAAAATGGTGTGGATAAAAAATGGGAGACTGGTTTTCCTGCAACTGCACCTATTATGTTTATCTTCCTTGTTCTTTCCGGATGAAAGATTTAAGAGTAGACTCAAGCTGTGGAGTGATTTCCTGTAATTTCAGAAGAGTAAGGAGAATGCTTGTCTTGGTGTAGAAAGATTAAATTAAAAAGTATTGAGTTGCCAGGGCTAGTCATTTTTATGTATAGGAATAATGTGGTCTTTCTAATTAACATCTATGTAATAAAGCTGTTAATAGTGAATATAAAAGCAAATCACCTCCCCATCCTATCTCACTTGTAATGAGGATAATGGTATCTTAGTTTGTGTGAGGAACAGGAGTTTGAATAAGTTGTAAGTGAAGCATTACAGAGGGATTTCTTCAAGACATTTGGGAAATAAAAGGTACAAAGAAGATGTAATTCACCTGTAGTCACACTAAACAGAAAAACATTGTTCACGTTGCTGTGCCCTATATATGCCTAAAATTAGAGGGGAACAATGTCAACTTTCTGGGCTTTAAAGAAAATTTCAGAAGAGGAAGTACTATTATAGGTGATGAAAGAAGTGGGGTCAGGAGAGTGCTTTAAATTTAGTGGAAGTCAGGAGACAGTGCTGCTAAATCTGACGGCTGCTAAATAGATTTAGGGAATTTGGGAGGTTTCTGAGTTTCAACTGCCAGTTACATAAAAGTAGGGGGCCCTCCCCGGTGGTGCAAGGGGTTAAAGCACAGCACTGTGAAGGGCAAATATAGCACAGCAGACTTCTGTCTCCCCTGCTGTGTATTTCAGTGGATCCACCTGTTCTGCTCCCCACTCTATGTCTCAAGATGAATCTTCTCACTGCCAGTGCACCTCTGGCCTGTACCCCAGTTCTGTATGCATAAATAAAAAAATCTTTTTAAAATGAGGGTTGAAAGTAGATCAGAATTCTCTGATCCAGTCGATACAGAGAAACGTCAGCAGAACTGTGTTGAAGAAATGGGAGCGAAGAACCCACTCAGCTTCTAGAGAGAGCAGTCTGGACACGCACACCGTCTGCCCTCAGTAGCCTCACTCCACTTGGTCACCGCGCCTCCGGGCCATACAGTTTCCCCCACCAGCCTACGGGCCTCTCTGGTCATTGGGGACGCGGGTTTGCGCGGGGCTGCTTGATAGATTCCACGTAACAATGCGCAGGGCGCCCCCGCCTGGGCCCCTCCAGTCTCACCCGGAAGGCCGTCGTGCGCGGTGGTTGGGATGGCGCACCTGTGCTCGTGTCCTTTGCGGCTGGAGAAGGGCTTCATCTTGGATGGGGTGGCCGTGAGCACCATGGCCCGCACCTATGAGCACCTGAGGCCCAAGCTCTGGTCGGCAATTCCGCCCTACAACGCGCAGCAGGACTACCATGCTCACCGGTACTTCCGGAGCCACGTGGTTCCGCCTGTTTTGCGGAAAACTGAGCAGGTACAGCGGGAGATTCCTGTCTCTGCCTCGTGGAGGCCCGACTTCCCAAATCCGGGCAGCGAGCACTCCCCCGGAATGCCACCCTCTCAGTTTTCTTAAGGAAACCCCAATTGGAAAGAGGACGGTGGTCGGTCGGTGTTGAGTGCGAGCTCACAGAATCATTTTTGACTCGTAAGTTTGGGAATAAACGCATTTGCTGTTTGCCCAAGCTTTAGGAGCTCAAAAACCCGCACCTCCCAAACAAGTACCCGTTTTTATTTGTTTGTTTTGCATAGAAGAGCCAGTGTGCAGGCCAAAGTGGGAGGGTTCATTAGAGACAAGAGTGGGGAGCAGCAGCAGCATATCCATTGAAATACCCTGCTGAGGGGAGCAGTGGTTGAAACAGAGGTCTGCTGTGCCCTGTGGGTCAGTTCCCACATGGGGGTCCAACTCATGTTGAAGTGACTATTGACAGCCTGATAGTGCTGACTTGAACCCCTTTGCCACCAGGGGGGGCCCATTTTCATTGACCTTATGAAGTCAGGGCCTACCCAAGGGTGAGCTTAGGCAGCAAATTCTCTAAAAGTTCTAACATTGGTGTGACCTCAGTGAACAAGACAGAGAAGTGCCTAGACACGCCTGGGGTGGTGGGCTCCAGGGGACAGGGCCTTCACTGTGGCCTGCCTGGGGTGGGGAGGAATCTTGTGTGACGTACTGCGAAGGAAACTTCTCAAGCCTCACTTTTCCCAGCTTTTCCTCTTGTGAGTGTTGCCCCTGGGACCAAAGGTTCTGAGGTTAGTGGCTGATGCTCCAATTTCTGTAAAAACACACTTGCATCTAATATTTGTGTTTAGGTCAGGGGAGAAGATGACTCAAGAGGTGTTATCCTGTGGACAAATCTTGGGGCCCTTTGCTGTGCCTGTGTTGTGTGCATTCATATGTGTTCAGTTCACACACCTATGGACCACACCTTGGGTTTCCCATGCTCGAGGATGTAATTGCTGTCTAGTCATGTAACTTTTATCACAGTTACATCACAGAAGGAGAAAATCTGGGGTAAGAAGAAGGATGAAAATAGGAGTATTGGAGCCCTTCCTGGTGGCGCAAGAGGTTAAAGCGCAGCACTATGAAGCTATCTGCCACTACTGCAGCACAGGTTCGATCCCCGGGCCAGGAAGCTGGCCCACATGCATAGCAGACTTCTGTCCTGCCCGCTGCTCCCCTCAGCAGTGTATTTCAGTAGATCTGCCTGTTCTGCTTCCCACTCTGTCTCTAGTGAAGCCTCTCACCCCTGTATCTCTTCCCTGCACCCCAGATCTTATATGCATAAATAATAAACCTTTAAAAATAGAAGTATTTAAAAACTTGAACGTGATGGACACACTTTTAAACATTTTTATAAAATATTCCATTTTATAAGTATTTAATCATCACAACCCATTATTTATGGTAGGTGTTATTTTCATTTTAATAAAAATAATGTTTATTGAATCTTTATGCCAGGGTCTTCATTTGAATGATCTCACTGAAATCTCACAGCAACCCTCCTTTTTATGAATGAGGAAACGTCCAGAAATGCTGTCATTAGAAGCATTCATGCAGCTTGTTAGTGGCAGAGCCAGAACTGGAACCAGTCTGTCCAGCAGCAGAAGCTGGGCTCTTAGCTACCAAACGAAGCTGCCTCTCCCTGAAAGCAATAGGTCAAATTTATATTTACTCTGTCCAGTTTCTCCTGACTGAAACGTCTTCCCCTCCCCACGACAAGCCCAGGGGAACTTGAACTTTACACCCAGAAGGACGGCTCACAATGTTCTATATTTTCTCCCTCACTTAGGATCACTGCGGCACAGGAAGGGATGGCTGGATAGTGGATTATTTCCACATCTTCGGACAAGGCCAGAGATACCTCAACAGGAGAAACTGGGCAGGGGCAGGCAAGTGCCACCTGGCTTTCCAGCCTCACTGTGGACACCCTCAGAAGCTGGTGTGCTCTGAGTGCAGAGACAGACACTGGGAGATGGCCAAGCTGGGTTGTGGGGGGTGCAAGTCCAGGAACAGCATCCTCTTGCTTCTCTTCTTTTGCAGGAACAGATGATGTCACAGCACGGCTGTATTTAGTTACTATATAGCAGGCGCTGTCCCCGGGGATAGCTGGAGAAGCATACGTTTAGAGGGTTAAAGTGATTTGCTCAGCAGGGCTGAGTTAAGATAGAAAGTCCCCTCTTAGCTGTTCCTCTCACTGCTCCGGGGACAGGCTGCATCTGGCTCATTCCCAGGCCCGATTTAGTATCAACAGGAAAGGAAGAGTTGAAAGAGTTGAACTCTCCTTTCACCCCAGCTCCATCATCCTTTGGCCATCCTTTAGACATGTAACCCTTGGCATCATTTGAATATATTATCCATATTCTCCAGATAGGTCAGAGGCAAGGGTGAAAGTTTCTCAGTTCCTCTGGGGACAAGGCAAGTTTGGCCAAACCTAGAAGTGTCTGATCCTTCTTGTGTCAGAATATACCATTCACACTCCTCCTGCATGCTATTCCTGGTTTGAGGCTTGGTTTTTACAAAGTCATCTGTCCCCTGACCTCACTAACTCTTGACTTCTCAGTCCAGCGGCTCAGGACAAGTGAGGATTGAGAATTCAGCGGGCTGCAGGTGGCACAGTGACCATAACTGACTTGGCATCCCATACTGGCCCTGTGGGGGTGGGGGAGCAAGGGATTTGATTGCAGGCTGAGGCTACTCTCTCCACCCCCCAGGGCATTCTGTCCAGCAGGTGAGCGGGCACGACCAGTACAATGCTAATCTGAAAGCCATCAGGGGCTTCAACGGTCATTTTGGCTATCGCCGGAATACCCCAGCTCTCCGCCTGCGCCCGTCCGTCTTTGGAGAGGTTACCCAGTTCCCTCTCTTCTAGCAGCATATCTTCTTACACACCCCTCGACCTGGGTTTGCAGGACATATGTAGATGAACTCACAAAGTTATTCTATATAATAAAAAAAAGAGAAAGATTTTTGTGTATCCAAGAGTACTGCTTCTTCCCTGATGTTGGGGGAAGGGGCAAGCTAGTTTTTCAACACTGTGGAGGTAGTGAGAGGAGAAAGGGCCAGTCAGGGCCAAACCAAACGGTCAGGGCTCAGCTCTCCTGCACAGGTGTGGTAAGGAGGAACCACACAACCTCATCCACAGGACCCCTGGTCTGAAGTGGCTACTGTTTCCATCAAGAAGGAAGCAGGCATTGAGTACAGGGATTAGCAGTCATCCTGAGATGTTGATTTCCTGGTTTTCCTAATAGCCTTCCCATGTGGACACATTAGTAATAGTATATCAGTTTCCTTTTCAACAAGTTTCCAGGATGTCCTTTTTCAAGTGCTCCCACCCAGTTTACTGCAGGTCAGGAGAAAAGCCAAAGCAGATGATGGATAAAAAAGAAGGTGGGGCTTTGGAATATGAGGCTTGCCAGAATTCTGGTGTGGGTGGAACTTGATTATATTGAGTCACCATAAGTGGACAAGGAAGAACACCCTAACAGGTTGTGGGGGTATAGCTCAGGGGTAGAGCATTTGACTGCAGATCAAGAGGTCCCCGGTTCAAATCCGGGTGCCCCCTTCCTTTCCTCATTTTTCAACTTTGTTAATGGAAATTAGATGAACACTTCCAGCTACAAGGCCTCTAGTTTCTACATAGCTGCTGAGAAGCGAGTCCTGGAGAACTCACTTTAAGGATGACAAGTTCCAATGAAATTATAGATGTAATATTAGATATGAGAGTTTTGAACTCAAACTTAGTGTGTTGTGTGTATTATTAGTGTATCTGGCAGAAAATTAGTCTGCTGGAAGCAAGGTAGAGACTCAGTTGTTAGAAGATTGTAGAACCTAACTCAGAAAGTTAATAGGTTTCTAAAGCCCAACAGGAAACAAGGAAAGCAAGGAATTCTACCCAGATCTCATCCCTGGAAGAGTCCACTGCTGTTTGCCACCAACCTTGGGCACTCTCCCATCTCCAGGGCAATTCCTCCAGTTTTGAGCAACTGATGGACTGAGCTGTGCCTGACATACGCACTTTTCCTCTAAGAGGAGGAGGAGGAGGTAGGTTTATCTCACCAAGTCTTAACAACACAAAGAATGCTCCAGAATTAAAGGATTGTTTTGGTGCAAAAATGAGTATATATCAGCACACTTCTTTTCCTCCTTGAAGAAATCATTGTAAGGAGAGGGTATGGTTATTTATTAGTTTCTAGTTCTAGAGGACAAGGATTTACTTTCAGCCCTTGATTTCCCATTTACTAAACTATCTAAATCCAATTTGGTATTAAAACAATTACATTCATGTTACCATGATCATGTCAGTGCTATTGAGCCAACCTTTATATAGGTGTAGAAAATCTGGGGTATGGGCCAGAAGTGGGGGTGGTGAGAGGACTCACCCAAGGCAGTTGGGAGCAGAATAGAGAGAACTACTGAAGTACACTGCTGAGGGGAGCAGTGGTGAGACAGGAGAGGCCTGCTGTGCCATGTGTCACCTCTCTGGCTGGGGATTAGGGATTGAACTCAGGCCATAGGGGTGGTAGTGCTGAGTCTTAACCACTATGCCACCAGGTAGGCTCTGTTGATAAACCATTTTCAAGTTTTTCAACATCTTAACAGTACAGCTATTCACCTGGCCCAAATGTATCAAAATAAATTCTTCCAGGCAGTCCCCCAGACACCCTCCATCCCTCTCTGGCTGTTTGGACCTGCCATCAGCTGGTGCCTGGGGAATTCCATTTCATCTCCTCTGTTTGGGGTTCTGTTTCCTGGGCAATATCCTCTCTTTTCTTGGTTTCCTCCTGTTTGTGGTAGAGAATAACCCTTACGAACGTCAAGAGAAATAAATGGAAAGTCAAATGTTTGCATCTTTGCATGTCTGAAAATATTTTACCTAAATCTTTAAGAGAGAATTGGTCTCAGAATTCTTTCTGAAAAAATTGTTTCAGATGTTTACAAATTTCCATTGTTTTCTAGTTTCTCTTGCTTAGTTTGATGTCATTCTTATTCCCATCTGTCACCTGGTTTTCTGTACATTCTTGATGTTCCCGAGGTGCTAACATTTTTCAGTGAGGTAGTGGATGAGCCCGTTCAATGTAGAGATTCAAATCCTGTTTTAAGAAGTTTTATTGAAAATTTATATCATTTGCTCATTGGGGACTTCCCTTTTCTTAGTTTCCTCCATTCATTGTAGAAAATAACCACTAGCAGGTCCTTCCTGGTGGCACAACAGGTTAAAACACAGCTCTATGAAGCTGTCCACAGACACTGTAGCACGAGTTCAATCCCTGGCCAGGGAGGTGACCCACATGGCACAGCAGACCTCTCCTGCCCTGCCTGCTGTTCTCCTCAGCAGTGTGTTTCAGTGGATCTGCCTGTTCTGCTCCCCACTCTGTCTCTGGTGAACCCTCTCACCCCAGCCCCTCTGGCCTCCACCCAGTTCTTATATGCATAAATAAATAAATCTTTAAAAAAATAGCTTAATTTCTTTTCTTTTTTTTCACAAGCAAGTGGAGTTTATGGAGCCAGCTAGCTGGGGTCAAGCTTTCTTGCAGGCACGCAGGCCACACAAGGGACGCAAGACTACTTAGTTTCTTTGGCTTCTTGGGCAGTGGCCACAGGACAGCAGGATGGTGAGTGGTTCTGCTTCATGGATCATAAAATGGACTGATCCCTGACTCTGCAGAACACCAAGATTCTGCCATTCAAAGTCAGACATCTAGAGGGATCTAATGAGCCGCTCACCTATTTCCGTAGGCAACATGACATGCCAGTACTCAAACTTCTCCTCAATGTCCATATCTGAGTAAGTACCTTCTTTTGCAAATTTGTTTGTGCAACATGATTGCTCTGCTTTAGGACCATAAGCTCCTTACCACCAAAACCAAACAACTCCCAGAAGTACCTCTCTCTCTCTTTAATTAAAGAGAAACAAATTAAATATCTGTGCTTATAATGTATTTGATTTTCCTATTTATGGCAATTGATACAGATTTTCTTTCAGATTTATGTATATAATTCACATACCATACACAATTCAATGGTTTGTTGTATATTCAGAGTTGTAATTACCAATGCCATACCACTTTTAGAACATTTTCATCATCCCCAAATAAATCTATATTCTATTAGTAGTTACTCCCCACTTTCTCCCAAACTGACCTATTTTTGGTCTCTCAGATGGGAAGCAGTACACAGGGCAAGGTAGATGGGAAGGGTGGTGGGCCTCCATGTCTGATGCCTGTAATGCCAAACAGCTTTTCTTTTTTTCTTTTTACACTTAAAATAACAGATTTATTAGGAAAAAAGAGGAAAAAGAGAGGTACCCACCTGCATAATCACAGATGGGCAGGAGAGCTGCCAAACACTGTACACATTTACTTTTAGAAGTATTTATGTATACAAGAACTAGGATGTTAAGCCAGAGGTGTGTGCTGTGTGTGTGTGTGTGTGTGTGTGTGACAGAGAGAGAGAGAGAAAAAGAGGGAGAGAAATGATTCACCAGGAATAGAGTGGGGAGTAGAACTAGCAGATCTATTGAAATACACTGCTGAAGGGAGCAAGCAGAGGAGACAGGAGAGGTCTGCTGCACCATGTGGGTCAGCTCCCTGGCCAAAAGCATGGGAAAATATCTTCCTGACTTGAGGACATGTAGTTTATGCTTATGCTCACCATTTTAATGATTCCTTTGTTCGTTTTTGCTGTGATTTCACCGAAAAATCTCAAAATGAGTTATAGTGCATTGGGAGGACTAAAAAAATAGTAAAACTAGGAAACAATTTAACAAAACTGGCAGGCATAAGGGACACAAAGGAAAACTAAAGTCTCTACCATTATGGATACAGACAAGTACACAGACCATCGTAACAGGATGACGTGTAATAGAATGACATGCTTTAACGTAATTTTTCCTAACTTATAAATTTAGTACATCCATCAATAAAAACAAACAGGACTGTTTTTGGAACTGGACAAGTTGACTTTAAAGTTCACTTGGAAAAATAAAAGTGTAAGAAGAGTCAAAGAATTCCAGAAAAAAATGTCACTAGGTAGAAGTAGGGCTTACTGGTCGTTAAAACAAAGTCAGGATGATTAGGGCAGTTGGGAGGTACTACAAGGATAGATTAATGGATGGGAACTGAGAATCCAGAAATAGACTCAGATACAAATGGGAATATAGTATGTGACAAAAGAACTTTTTATACGCCTTTACACTGAAGGTGTTGAGGTGAATGTGTAGCAGACCAAATGGAATGACTATAAAAATAGCAATGGGGGCTTCCTGGTGATGCAAGAGGTTAATTCTCAGCACTATTAAGCTAGCACCATCCACTGCAAGTTGAGTTCCATCCCTGGGCCCTGGAGCTGACCCAACATGGCTCAGCAGACCTCTCCTGTCTTGCCCGCTGGTGCCCTCAGCAGTGTATTTCAGGGGATTAGCCTGTTCTGCTTCCCACTTTCTCCGTAAATCCTCTTACCCCCCCAACCTCTATCCTGCACCCCAGTTTTGTATGTATAAATAAAAACAAATCTTAAAAAAAAAAAACACAAATATCAAGTGAATCAAAGCTTAAAGTCATGGTGTCTCCTTCCCTCTCTCGACTCTTAGCTGGTCTAAAATGCTGATGAGAAACAGTTAGTATTGAGTACTGACGGAGAGAGAAATGGAGTTAACAACGAATGTGGAAGATCGATCCACAGTTGATGAATCGCGGGGCCTTAGAAATGAGGTGTGCGTCTTCCATAGTAAGCATTGGAAAGGGAAGAGGAAGCTGGCAGATTCTAAATTTACAGGGGAGCGGGTTAAGAGTTTTGGTTCGCTCTTTTCTACTTAATTTCTGTAAACTGGGTCTGGAGTAAGGAGGTGGCCAAGAGTCGAGGTTAAGGAGAGTGCAGACTTGAAAAACTAGGAAAAACCGGCGTGTCCGGTGTCGGTATGGCCTGAAACGCCCAGCGGAGTTGAGCACTCGCGGGCGCCGCGGTGCGGGGTGCGCTGCCATGACAACAGGAGAGCCGGACAGGCCCGCGGTAAAAGTAGCCCCACAAAGCCTTAGGGTTTAGACACACACTCTGGCCAGCGGGGAGATGGGGACGTCGCAAAGAGACCACATACGGAGGAATGGCCCAAAGGCGAAGCGGCACGTGACGCTACGGCCAAACAGCGCAACCACGAGTGTACGTCATCGTCCCGCGACGCCGACGCGATAACAGGACGCCCGCCCGGAAATGGGTTTTGGATAAGACAGTGAAAGCGGCAGCCAGTTGCCCCAGACCACCGGTGGGGAAGTCGCGGCTGTTCAGTTTTAAGAAGTTGCTTCTCGGTCTAGGTGTTCGAGGGCCTCGCAGTGAGGAAACGTCCCCAGCACCATGGGGGGCGGCGACCTGGTAAGTGAAGGAGGCCTGGGCAGGAGAGTCGGAGGCCGGAGACAGGTTGCTGGGGGTTGAAACTGGGTGGGGGGGGCGGGGGTGGTAACCGCCTAGGCTCAGCCCTGGTTTCGGGAGAAGGGGTCCATAGCCTTGGAGAGGGAACAGGTCAGTAAGGTCACAGGGGGCCGAGACTTGGGCATGTGTGTGAAGTGTGTCGCCGACAGTGGCCGGCAGTGTTGTGTGTGTGTGTGTGTGGGGGGCTGTCGTTTGGAAATTCTGAAAGGCCCAGACGGGGGTTGAGGGGTGGTGGGGATGGTTGGAACTATGGCTAGGAAATGGAAACAGCTGTGAAGAACTATCCCGTAGGCTTTGTTTTTTGTAACTGGTTTTGGGACTTAAAGCCTTTCCTCGGCGAGAGTTCAGTCATGTCCTGGGCTGCTTTGTGGACCTTTTGTTCACCACTGAACCATGTCTGGGGTTAATTTTAAACTTGAAGGGATCTTCCTCATGCTTGTCTTTCTGCCTTCTATTTCTTCAAAGCTGCATTCTGATCTGTAGTTACAGCTTTCTTCTAAGTTTATAGCACTGAATATAAATTATGTGGTAATTTCTCTTAAGCTGTATAGTTCAGCCATTTGGCCAGAACCACCATCTTCCAGGTTTTTTTTTCCCCCCAAAACAAAAACAAAACCTGACACAAAGGGATAGAGGAGAGGCACCTGCTATATGTTATCTAGACCTTAGAAAATATGAAATTGTTCTTTTGGCCACATCAAGAAAGATGATCTGGTGGACATCAAGAGAATAAGCACTGTTCAGAAAGGAATGCACTATAACCATTTCCATGTCAAAATGGAAACCATCTGTATTGTTACCATGCAATGGGGATTGGTGAAAACAAACAAGAGCAAGATTCTTGCCAGGAGAATTAATGTTAGTGTTGCATGTTAAGCACTCAAAGAGCCAAGATACATGTGAGGGAAAATGACCAGAAGAAGAGGGCAACTAAGAAAGAAAGGTACTTGGATGCATCTGAAGTGCCAGCCTGCCCCACACCCAGAGAATCACACTTAGTGAGAGCAACTGAAAGAAGCATGAGCACACTGGGAGCAGAAGCCATGACATGCCCATGGCATACATATGGACTCTTTTTTTTTTTTTTAAGATTTATTTTATTTATTTATGCATACAAGAGCTAGGGTGTAGGCCAGAGGTGTGGGGGTGAGAGGATTTATCAGAGACAGTGGCGCCACCTAGGTCACCCAGGCTTCCCATTGAACTCACTGCAGTGGTTATGGATAACTTCAGAGTGCTGAGACTTAACCCCTTGTACCACTAGGGAGGCCCCTGTCTCTCATTCTTAACTGGTCTCCTGGGCTTCAGTCTCTAATCTTGATGCTCTCTAGCCTATTCACAGGATAGCTAGTTAACTCTCTTACCTGCATGTGACTATTCAATGTTGCTGTCAGCAGGATAAAGTTAAGCCTCTTAATGTGGTTTATAAGACCCTAGTCTGTTTGTTGTTGTTTTTTCTTTCTTTTTTAGTTGGCTTCATCTCGAGCATTCTTACCATCTCCAGCCATACTGAATTTTTGTGTTGTCTTCTTTCTCACCACTGGGTCTGCATTTGTGTGTGCTGTTGCCTCTGTTTGGAAATCTGTTCCCCTTCTCCCTCCTCCTTACATTACTAAATGCATTTTTAATAATTAGATGTTACTTCCTCCAGTAAACCTTCCCTGGTTGGGAGGCTGAGCCAAAGCAGTGACTCATGGGAAGGAGGGAGAAGAGAAGTATTCCTTGCGGGTGAAGGGGAGATCAGAACCAAGGAGATGGGGCTGGAACCACGCATACATAACTGGCAAAGTGACTCAGGAACAGGTTGAATCCATAAGATGAATGCCCAGTGCCAGAGGCACTCCAGATCTGCCTTTCAGAGTCTATACCTCCCCATTTCCCTACCCCATTTTTCCTGTATTGTTATCCTCCATCCTGCTCAGATAGAGCCAGTGGAAGTTAGATTCACATGCATTTCCCATTAGAGGTGTTTGAAGGGCTTGTTCTAACCTGAAGTTTTATATACTTGAACAAAACCCCCTTGATAGGCCTCCGTGGTTGTGGAGAGGCTAAAATCTCAGTGCATGAGTTCGATCCCTGGCCAGGGAGGTGGACCCACATGGTGCAGCAGATCTCTCCTGACCTGCCCTGCTCCCCTCAGCAGTGTCCTTCAGTCAGTTTGCCTTTCTTCCCCCCACTCTGTTTCTGGTGAATCTTTTCACCCCCTGCACCACTGCTCTAGACCCCAGTTCTTATATGCATAAATAAATAAAATGAAGCTTCAGAATTCTCAAGGTGTGTGAGAGTATTGGGTGCCTACCTTGCCACTGTTAAAGATGCCTTGGCATAAAGAGGGCATGAGTGGGGAGTGAGGCCAGCCCAGATAAAACTCACCATCCTCTTACTCCCAGAATTGTTCTTTTTCCTTCACAGAATTTGAAGAAGAGCTGGCACCCACAGACTCTCCGCAATGTGGAGAAAGTGTGGAAGGCTGAGCAAAAGCATGAGGCGGAGCGGAAGAAGATCGAGGAGCTTCAGCGGGAGCTGCGGGAGGAGAGGGCCCGGGAAGAGATGCAGCGTTATGCGGAGGATGTTGGGGCTGTCAAGTAAGCGAGGAGCTGAGGGTGTGGTGGGCTGGGGGTGTCCTGGTGTGTGGGTAATTGCCTGGCAGTGCATCATTCAGTTGTTGCAAAGCAGCTCGCTGCAAACTTGGTTCAGAGTTGGCCTGACCTAGGTGCTTGGGGTTAGCGCTGCACCCACTAGCCTCAGTGTGTGTCTGGGAGCAAGTTTGAGTGTTTTGGTTTTCTCCTTAGAACCTGAGGATGTGGGTAGATGACTGACAGAGAGCCATGACTGAGGAGGATTGCCCTTTCCCTGCCTTTCAGCATGGGTGGTGCCCTCAGTCCTGTTTATGTAGGACAGGCTCATTTTGAGGGTTGTGGTGGGCATTGAGTTCCCATGGAAGGAAGTGGTAGAACAGCCCCACTCAGTTTTACCCTACTTCACTTTCCTCTTGTATAATATAGGAGAGGAATAACAGGTTGTAATAACCCTGCCCATTTTGTAAAAGGAGGTGGGAGTAAATAATGCTTTGAGAAAAATAAGTGTGAAAATGCGGTATGTTCTGAATCAGAACTGAATAAAAACCATAGACAGACTGCAGATGAGAAATCCGTGCTGTCATTCCCTTATCTGCAGCTGCCTATGGCCTGCCTCACTCACGGCCCGGAGGGACTTTTCCTTAATGGCACATACTTAAAAGATTTGTGAGGTTCAAGGTTGTGTGTGTGAGAGAGACTTAATTTTATTTCATGGAACTGGCATCATGGTACTTAAACAGGATAAAAATAATTTTCTTTCAGGATAATGCAGTATAAGAAGGTCTTTCTAATTTAAGAATGAAATTTTAGGTATATTACAATAGAGTTCTAGAATTTTTAAAGATAGCAACAACAAAAACAATATAGATTGTTTTTGTTTTTATTTATTTAAAGATTTATTTATGTGTACAAGAACTAGGATACAGGTCAGAGGTGCAGGGGCAGTGAGAGGCTTCACCAGAGACAGAGTGGGGAGCAGAACAGGCCACTGACGAAGTACACTGCTGAGGGGAGCAGCGGGCAGGTCAGGAGAGGTCTGCTGTGCCTTGTGGGTCACCTCGGGTGCTGGGCATTGAAGTGGCTGCAGCCAGCTTGCAGTGCTGAGTCTTAACCCATTATGCCACTAGGGAGAGCCCAAACCTATCTTTTTGGTAGGAAAAGAAAAATTCTAAAGGGTTATGACCTCTTACTGGTTTAAATTATTCTTATTTCAAATGACCAGAGATGATAATAGGAAAACATTTATGCTGGTGATTGTTATATATAAACTTAAATACACAAACTGAAACCAAAAAGCCCTGTTACACAGCATTGGCGGGAATGTTACGTATAATACTGTTCATGAACTGCTGTGTTGCTGTGAATGTGCTAGTGGCTGCCTGGCACATGCTCAGTGGAACTGAGGTTGTCTGTTGTGTGAGGATTCAGTTGTGTCACTACTTTATTCTCAGAACCACAGGGAAACCTTTGTTTGGCATGATATTGTGATATAACTTGCCCCCCTCCCCTTTGGCTTGAAGCATAATTTACTTATCTCTGGTCTTTTCTTGTTTTCCCCTCAAATGTAGTATGCCTGGTGCTAATGGGACAATGACCCCAAAACAGTGCAGACACGCAGCACGTCACTGAGATTGTTCTTGGTGGTGCACTGATCCAGAATGTGCTTATTTCTGGTTGTTCTTGAAATGGAAGCCTAATATCAAACTTGTAACCAGCCTGGAGAAGCCCTGAGCAAAGAGCCATGCCCTGAGCTTTTCCCCATAATTTGCTTGAGATATGTGAATAGTCTCTCCCCATGGTAAGCTCCCTGCCGGCAAGCACCACTTCTCCTTGGTACCACGAGGGGTGCTGTGTTCTGCCCACGCAAGGGGCCGCTACGTAAGGGTCACCATACCTTGTGTTGGCGTCTCTGTGTAGGTCTGTGTAGGGGTTTGCAAAAGTAACCATTTTCTTTGGTTCTGCTTTTTTCCCTTGACCTAGGAAAAAAGAAGAGAAATTGGACTGGATGTACCAGGGCCCTGGTGGGATGGTGAACCGGGACGAGTACTTGCTGGGGCGCCCCATTGACAAATACGTGTTTGAGAAGATGGAGGAGAAGGAGGCAGGCTGTTCTTCTGAGACAGGACTTCTCCCAGGCTCTATCTTCGCCCCATCAGGTGCCAATTCCCTTCTTGACATGGCCAGCAAAATCCGGGAGGACCCCCTCTTCATCATCAGGTACTAACAGGAAGGGGGCATGGTTGCAGAGAGGTGGTAAGCTGTCTCTGACACCCTTGATTCTCTCACTTCGTGGTTTCTCCAGTGTTTTGTCTGCTGTGTGAAAGGTTGATCCCTGTTGTAGCCTGTCAAATTATCTTCTTTTAAAAGCGTGGTAAAGACACATAACTTAAAAATTTACTGTCTTAACCACTTCAAATGTACTGTTTAGTAATGAATATATCTACATTGTTGTTCAGCCAATCTCCAGAAGTTTTTCATCTTGCAAAATTAAAACTCCACACCCATTAAACAACAGCTCATAATTTTCCCTCTCCCCAGAGTCCCTGATAGCCACCATTTGACATTCTCTATATATTTTCCAAAGATTTATTTATTTTTTTTTTTAAAGATTTATTTATTTATTTATTTGTGCATACAGAACTGGGGTACAGGCCAGAGGCTCAGGGGCGGTGAGAGGCTTCACCAGAGACAGAGTGGGGAGCAGAACAGGCAGATCTACGAAGTACACTGCTGAGGGGAGCAGCGGGCGGGTCAGGAGAGGTCTGGCTCGCCATGTGGTCTCCTCCAGGGCAGGCTGCAGGCGGGAATCGAACTCATGCGGAAGTGGCTTCAGATTCTCAGTACTGTGCTTTAACCCGCTGCGCCACCAGGGAGGGCCCAAAGATTTATTTTTATTTATTTAGGCATATAAGGACTGGGGTGTAGGCCAGAGGTGTAGGGTAATGAGAGTATTCACCAGTGACAGAATTGGGAGCAGGAACAGGTGGATCTACTGAAATATACTGCTGAAGGGAGCAGTGGGAGAGACAGGAAAGGCCTGTGCCTTGTGGATTAGCTTCCTGGCTGGGGATTGAATTTAGGACACAGCAATGATAGCACGATTGTGCTAAGACTTAACCCTTATGCCATCAGAGAGACCCCTTGACATTCCATTTCTAAAAGTTTGATAACTCTTGGGACCTGAGATAAGTGAAATTGTACAATATTTGTCTTTCTGTGACTGGCTGACATCACTTAGCATAACACCCACGTCGTAGCAGACATCAGCATTTCCTTCCTTCCAAACTGAGTAATATTCCATTGTACCTATATGCCACATTTTGTTTATTCCTTCATCTCAGTGGATATCTGGGTTAGTTCCACCTTTTGGCCACTGTGAATAATGTTACTGTAGACATTAGGTCCCTAACCGGTTTTCCAAATCTTCATTGTAACATGAACAACTTTGTAATGACCTTTCTTGGTTATTGGCTTATAGTGAGATGTTCTGAAGGAAGAATTTGTAAGATGGAAGAGTATGTACAGGTTGTCTTCAGTTTTGCCAGATTGTCATCCGGGTAGTTTGGCCAGCTTCCCCTTCTGTGAACAGTATATGAGAGTAAGGCATCTCGAAAGGGGGACTCCATTCTGTTTCCCAGGCAATGGCCTGCACCTCGTCAGCAGTGGTGCTGACAGGTTGCAGTCACTAGAGACCAGCAGCCACTTGATTCACCAGATGACACTGATGTACTTGAATAGTGGCCTAAAGACTAGGGACTAACAAACTACCTCACTCACTTTCTTGCATGATGGGGAACCGGTGTGGACTTTACCGCAGTATCCAACCCCTTGTGCCGATTTGGGGACTATTTCTGGCTTCCAGACATCATGTAGATTTCAAGATAGGGCCTGTCCAGCCTCTGTGTTCTGCAGTAAAGATTGCTACATAGACTTTGGAGTGTAGACTGAATGACTTAATCCCCTTTCCAAAAGAAGTGGTTGTGATTTTTGTATTTTCTTCTCTTTAGGAAGAAAGAAGAGGAGAAAAAAAGAGAGGTATTGAATAATCCTGTGAAAATGAAGAAAATCAAAGAATTGGTAAGTACCACCTCAAGTAAAGACCAAGAGTATCTTTTAACTACTCATGACTAGGACTTCTCTCTGATTGCTCTTATGAGAGGGGAAAGAGAATGGCCTTTAAATTTTTGTCTTAGTGACCTTCTCTGGTCATTTTAGCAATCTAAGTTTATCCAGCTTAATTAAGTTTGATTTCCTCTTTCATGTCTTTTGATTAGTCACCATGTGATGCCATTTTTCCTGAAAAAGAAGGGGATGGGCTATGTCTGTGGAGAGCATGCTAAGACATTGTGTTTAGGAAATTGGGGGGGACAAGGCTCGCTCATCATTCACATGACATATGTGATTGTTTCTTGGGTCAATTGGAAGGGAAAATAGAAGATTAATCTTGCAGCATCCTCTGTTTTCAGCTTACTTGGATTCTTTTGACCTAGTATGGAAATTCCTAGGCTCTGGTTCTGGGGACCACTAAACAACACAAATTCCTAGCCCTGCCCACCAGTATTTCTGTTCGGTAGTGTAAGGAATATTTGTGTATAGCCACAGTTACGCCCTCCCCCTCCTGTTGACAGGGAACCTCTGACAGTGTCCTGGACTCTCGTAGACCTAGGGGCGTGGAGTCAGGTTGTTGCTACATGACTTAGCTCCCTTAGAGAGACTGACAGGGGTATCAGTAATCTTGCTTGGTTATATTCTGGGCATTTTCTAGTTGCAAATGAGTCTGGAAAAAAAGGAGAAGAAAAAAAAGAAGGAGAAGAAAAAGAAGCATAAGAAACACAAGCACAGAAGCTCAAGTAGTGATCGATGCAGCAGCGAGGACGAGCGTAGCCGAGGGAGGTGAGGATGTGGAGCCCGGCCTCCCTCATCATTGATTCACTCATTCATTCATTCCACAGCTATTAACCTAGCACTGCCAGGTACTGCCAGGTGCTGGGGTTTCCGTGGGGGACCCTTGGACATGGCTCTGTGCTCACAGCTTGCTACCTAGCACTGGAGTTCCTTGGAGAGCTTAGCATGACCCCTGAGAGAGTGGACTGTGGCTGTCTAGGTCTTAGGTCACACATTGTGGCTGTGACTTTTTCATTTAGCTTTTGATTCCTCCAAGACTAAAGTGGGTTTTCTGTAGGCTTTTTTTTTAAATGGAGTATTGGGCCATCTGGGCCTGTTCCTTCTGTCTTCTCTGTGGGAGCAGTCGGCGCTGTTGCTGCTGACTCATGATTAGTCCCTGGAATAGCAGCTTGAGGTGAGAGGAGACTGTGCTCAGGCATTGGGACTGCAAAGCAAGGCCCACAGATTTTCACAGGAAAAACATGACTCTGCTGATGCTTCTTCCAGCAAAGACAGTCCAAATAGACAAACACATTCCCAAGTAGTGGCTGGGAGGTGGGAAAGGCCACATTGGAAACAGGAAGCATGTTTCCTCATAAGAGATTCAACATGGACCGCCAGGCATTTTTTTTTTTTAAGGTTTATTTATGTATACAAGAACTGGGGTACAGGCCAGAGGTACAGGGAGTGAGAGGAATCACCAGAGACAGAGTGGGGAACAGAACAGACAGATCTGCTGTAATACACTGCTGAGGGGAGCAGCAGGTGGATCAGGAGAGATCTGCTGTGCCACGTGGGTCAGGGATCAAACTCCTGCTGCAGTGACTGCAGATAGCTTCACAGTGCTGTGCTGTAACCTTCTGTGCCACCAGAGAGGGCCCCCATCAGGCATTTTCTTTGTCAGTGAGTTTGTGTTTTATCTCTTAGATCTCAAAAGAAGAGGGCAAATTCTTATCCTGTTTTGTCCAGAGTCCCTGGATATGGCTTACAGGTAAGATGTGGGCTTCTCAAAAGGAGAGACTGTGAGAGTTGGCATATGCTAACTTGACAGGCTTTTGAATATCGAATATTTTTAGCAGCCAGTCAAACATCATATGGGAAGGAGAGTTGGGGTAACAAAGACAGGCTGCTGGGGAACAGTCCCATTCCTTATTGCCGAGCTTCTGACAGTGGCAGAAGGCCCTCTGAGCAGAGGCCAAAGCACCAGTGGGGTACTTAGGCTGTCTGCACATCCCTCTGTAGATGATTTGTGGGAAGTTGATACATTTTATGTATACATTTTAGTGACTTGACAAACATATGTCTCCCTTTTTTCCCCTCAGTACTTATAAACTTAGGGCAGGTCCTCCATGAGGTGCTTCTTGCTCCTCCTTAGAACTGCAGTGAAGAGCCAGCCAGCTGAGTGGTTGGGTTGGTTCATTCCTTTAGGGGGTAACTGAAGATAACTTTCCTAAATATGTGTGGTCCTAATGGAGTTGGTATCCTCACTGGACTCTTCCTGCTTCATAGTATTTTTCCTGAATTTCTGGACTGTCCTCTGAACAGCTTTTCTTCCTTTCCCTGATGGTACAGATCAGGGACTCTGATCGTAGCCAAAGACTGCAGGGTGCTGAACAAAAGGGGGTACACAAGTCTAAGAACCACTCCAGATCCAGAAGCTCCTCCCACTCACCTCCCAGACATGCCAGCAAGAAAAGTACCAGAGAAGTAGGGTCTCGGGACAGGAGGTCGCGATCCCCAGGCAGAAGGTCGCACTCCCCAAGGCCAAGCAAACAGTGAGTGTGGGAGTTCGTGGGAAGTAACCTGTGAATGTGGAGCTGGTCCGAGCAGAGACCTGCTCTTGGCAGTGCCCGTCTGCTTTGTTCCTGCTTTCATGTCATTTCTCCACCTACTTGAATATGGAGCTTATGCCCCTACACCTCCTTTTTAATAGCCGGGGAGTCTCAGGCCTTCCCTGGTGGCACAGTGGGTAAAAGCACAGCACTGCAAGCTAACCACAGCTGTTTCAGTGTGAGTTCAATCCCCGGGCCCAGAGGTGACCACATGGCGCTGCAGACCTCTCCTGACCCGCCCGCTGCTTCCCCCAGCAGTGTACTTTGTTGATCTGCCCGTTCTGCTCCCCACTCTGTCTCTGGAGAATCCTCTCACTGCCCCTGCACCTCTGGCCTGTATCCCGGTTCTGTATACATAAATAAATAAATCTTTTTTAAAAATAGATGGGGAATCTCTGCAATGAGTTTTATTTCAAATCTTGGAGTCCTTTGCCTTTGCTTTTCTTCCACTTCTGCCCTCTCTTCTCTCAGTGTGATTATAATTTAAGATTGTTAGATCTTCTTCTATTTGAGGAATATGGTAAAAGTTTCTGCCCTCTGTGTCGGTTACAGGCACAACTCTAAGGTAACAAGGAGAGACAGAGGCCGAACTAAGAGCCCATCGCCTAAAAAAGAGGTTTACCAAAGGCGGCATGCTCCCGGGTACACCAGGTGAGTCAAGAGCCCAGGCGGCCTGAGCACAGGGAGGGCTCAAGCCAGGGAGGTGGAGAAGCTGTTTCTTTTTGTTTATCACATCCAATGTGAGGCACATGGAAGGGACAAAGCAGTAGTTTATGATATAATGAACAATTTGAATGACTGTCTTTCAAAATCTGTAAGCCTGATAATTCTCAAGAGAGATTTCCACAGAGAAGCTTTTCTTGAGTATTCCTTTCCTGAGACATCAGCTGAAAAGGAAGAGGATGTTTTCTCTGAAGGCAGACATTCATCCTCAGGTGGACTCTGTGTTTGAGCTGGATGTGTAGTGGTCAGACAGAATATGGGGTGCAGGGCCCTCCCTGCTGGCGCAGCAGGTTAAAGGACAGCACTGTGAAGCTAGCGCAGCCACTGCAGCATGAATTCAGTCCCCAGCCAGGGGCGTGGCAGACCTCTCCTGACTGGCCCGCTGCTCCCCTCAGCAGTGTATTGCAGTCAGTCTGCCTGTTCTGCTCCCCACTGTCTCTGGTGAATCCTCTCACCCTCCTGCACCTTTGGCCTGTACCCCAGCTCTATATGTGTAAATAAATAAATCTTTTAAAAAAGGAAAAGAATTGGGGGTACATCTGTGGGGCTTAGGGGTAGATGGTTGTGTTCATGAAAGGCTGTTCCTTAGGATTTCAGTTGCTTATTGGAAGTACATAGGAAATGAGACTTTTATGAACTTTTTCCTGCCCAAACAAATTGGCTGCGCGTTAGAATCACCGGGAAAGCTTAAAGGGAAACTTCCTATTACCCAGCTAGCCCCGGCATAGTCTCTGTTATAGCATCGTCTCTGGGGGGACGCGCAGACATCAGTACTTCCACGCTGCCAGTGTTCCATGTGCAGCCACGCTGAGAACCACTGGGAATCTGTAAGCACCTCTTTTTTTTTTTTACCATGTTGTTAGAAGAGAGTGATGGACCCTAAGCTTCCTTTTTACTTTGAATTCTTCATCCCCTCCATTTCCAGAGAACAGAATCTTTTTTAATTTTTAAAAATTTTTTAAAAGATATATTTATTTATTCATACAGAACTGGGGTACAGGCCAGAGACAGAGGGTGAGAGGCTTCACCAGAGACAGTGGGGGGCAGAACAGGCAGATGGACGAAGTACACTGCTGAGGGGAGCAGCAGGCGGGTCAGGAG